GTGTTTCGACGTCATCGGACCTTGTCGCGAATGTTAGGTTGATTGAGGACACACAAGGTTGTGTAACTGTAACTGTTCCTACTTCGGTTGACTGTCAGTCAAGTGATGATGAGAAGGAAGTGTCTGATGGTAACAGCGAGTCTACAGTGTTGCATGATAACGATGCTATTGTGTCTCTGAAACGGAACATGAAGAACAACAAGTGAGTTTATCGGTTTTGGATTATGACACTTATGCTGTTCTTTCATGTAGCGAGATGAGTTATACAACAATGGAAGAGTCTCACTCTACGGATGCTAGTGCAGACCGAATCGACGCGACCTGTCTGACACAACGGAATCATAATCTGGATGTCACTGATGTGACAAATGAGTTACCGACGATGAGGAATGCTGAGCAAACCTCCTCTGTATGAGGAGATGGAGAGTTAGATATTGGTCCCATCTTATGTCACTTAAAGTCTTCGGGAGACGAGGAAATATCAAAATTGGAGATCCCACCCTTGCATATTATCTATGGGTCAAGAACTTCTGTTGATAAGTCAGCATCACGGACTTCATTGTATCTGCCGTTCGGAGCAAGTGGTGGTGGATTGACGACTCATCCCCATGATATGGAATGTAGATCCCGGATAGGATATGACCAGCTTTACGACGTGTTGTACATGTTTATATGGGTTAATTGGATAAGGTTTATACTACCGTTAGGTCATGCTATGATAGATTGGGGAATCAAGGGCCTGATGGGAAGGCACAGGTACCTAGTTAGCCTGATAGGTCATATCCATGTTGGAGGGCTTGTAGGCGTACTGCTGTAAGTCCTACTCGTTCTTCCGGTGTCGATTAGAAGATGAGAGTGAACCCAAACTTGAAGTGTCAGTAAACGTTTGCTTTTTGCATGGAGGGATTTTGCGGGCCGGTGTAGAATCTTTTTTGAATATTTTGTTTTTTGGAAAATCCCTCCATGTATATATATTTGTGTTATGATATGACTGACTCTTTCTGTTGACATTTTGGTATTTTATTTGATTCCATTTTGAGATTTTATCATTGTATATTGTTATTATATCTATATTTTGTACTTATACTGAAGTTTTATGTTTGCTTCTGAACTGTACACATGTTGTTTAAATTTGATATATAATATGGCTACAGCCATATTTGGATTTGATATCGTCGCAGTATACTAGCTTCACCTAATCTTTTGAACTCGGATACTCATCATAGTAATTTCGACTTGGAAGGCGTAATAATTGTCAGGTAAATGTTTGTATTTCCATTTCTTTTATATACATAGACCACTTTCTCCTAGAATTATTGTGTTCTGATATTGGACTAGGAGAGGGGTGCGTTCGACATACGTCTATTGGAATCGAATTGAACTGCTACGGTAGAAAATTCAACTACACCGTTTTCGGCAGAATGCTAGTTTGCATTAAGTAGGATCTATAATAAGACTGCTCGTATCCTACGCATCACTTAATAAATCTTTAAAGCGTTCCGAAGCTTCTACTTTAATGTAGTGGTCGGGCTTGACTATCGTGATGACCTAACCGAGCTAAACTGGCTGAAACATATGTTCCTGAAGGTTCTACCATGCCAGGCAGGTCGATTGGAGAACGATGATACTAAAAGCAGCTACTCACGGTCTGAGGGCGAAGTCGTACTGCTGACTGCAGAGGGGTGTGTCAGCAGTAAGGTGTTTCCCTCGGACAACCAGCATCTGCAGCGATGCTGCCTTCTCACAAGGAAGGAAAGGTTAGAAAAGTTCGACCCTAAAAATGTCACACCTCACCCTACCTCACGGATTTCCATCTCCAGCGGTAAGGGTGCCCACTAAGGGCTTTCAAGAGCGGAGCTATTGCTCAAAAATCCTCAAGCCGTTGTCCCTTGGGCTTTGCGATCACGCTTCCAGGTTTCTAAGACCAATACTAATCTACCTTTTTCTTCAGGTCCCTCAAGAAACAACCTTTCATGGTGTGGGCAGCCGGGAAGTGTTAACCACCCTTTTACCCGTAAAAACATGCGGGACCGAATCGGTCAAAATCAAATCCTTCCTACACCCCCTAATATCTCTCATATCTCCACGATTAACTCTACTCACATTCCCTTATATCACTACACCCCTAGTGCATACGATGCGAGTTCACGAAAAGTTATTCTCGATCTCTTGAAACCCCATTCTAGGCTACATGTTGGGGCTTGCAATGTATGGACACTGTCAAATATGGCAACAGGCTTCATTAGTTAGGAGACAGGAATCTCGCTCAATTGATGTATGCTGTGTCTCGGAAACGCGCATACAGGATCCTAGTAAAATAATTAATTTGATTTCGCCTTGCCAAAACAAAGAAGCAGCCCGATTTACTCCACGTGCATCCGGTCGCCTTGATGCTACTTCTAGGGGTCTCGCTGGTGTAGGTATAGCATTAATTCGTAGGGCAGAACTAGCTCTCCTAGACTGAATCCCAATAGCTAGTCGCTTGTGCGCTGTCCGACTGAACGGGACAGTAAGGACCCGTAAAGATAGGGGCACCCGTCGTTGCCTCTTCGTCATGTCTACCTATACCCCCACTGACTGCAGTTCAGATGAGGTGAAAGATGAGTTCTACAGGAAGCTTTCGAACCTCCTCCAAAACGTTCGGCACTCTGATGTACCAATAATGGCTGGTGACATTGATGCTCAAGTAGGTAGACTATGTGAGCAGGAGAGACAACTAGGTAAAAGTTATGCTGCCGCGGCTCAGAGAACAGACAATGGCATCCGTCTGTTGCAACTATGCTCAGATAACCAACTGTTTCTAGCAAACACTAACTTTAGGCATTAGGAAAAGCACATTTTCACCTGCGACCCCTAAAGTCGTCTCAACGTTGGACCAAACTAGATCACATTGCCATCAGCCATCGATGGAGAGGTTCGACAGAGGACTTTCCCTCGTTCTGGGGCACATGTCTAGATTCAGATCATGCTCCAGTGCGAGCGCGTATTTTTTGAGGCTTACTGGACGTAGGAAAGACACCATAAGTAAGCCTCTTAGGGTTTTGCTTAATGATAATTGTTGTAAGGATTACTTAGATAATTTCCAGCTAAATCCTATTGCTTAGTATTCTCTGACCACAATACACTGGACAAGTTCCCAAGAATCAAAAACACGGTTGAACAGGAAAGATTATATTCCAAATAGCAAGGTTAAATGGAAATAGGAAGCCAAAGGTGATGGCGAAGGCGAAGTCAAAGAAAGCTGAAATAGATATAACGTTAGTCTATTTATAGCATTTACATGAGAAGCTTCTGGATAGAAATTCACGTGATCGACTGGATTAGATTTAACCAATCAGCACGCAGCAACGTAGTCATGCTTTAATTCCATCTATGTCCCCCCTAACAATAATAAAGCTAAGAATATATTTCAGGAGCAACAACAGAGTTAAGCATCCATGTAAGCGATTCCCATCCGGAATGAGGTTGGAACGATATCAAAGTTGCTGTGGAAACAACAGTGATATCTGCTTGTAAGGTTGACCGTAAGCCTAGGGTGAAGGCTTGGATCTCAGTGGCATCCACCGGACGCCGGATGCTCGAAAACTCATCCCATCTGGCTCTGAACATGATGAAGAACGAAGTCAGCTTAAGCTCAGACTGATAAAAAGCCTGCGCGACGACCATGAACAGTGGTGGTTGGTGAAAGCGAGATGGAAAAGACAGCGACAATAGACAACAGTCGACAACTTTTCCGACTTATCAAGGAAACCGGTATTAGGAATACTAGTGTAAGTGAGACTATCTCGGAAAAGGATGAGACTATTATTTATTCTCAATGCAGGAGATTCGATTGATGGGTAGAACACTTTAGGGATCAGTTCATCTAGCCTTCATCCACACTTTGGTTACCTGCGATCTCCAGTCATCGTCCGAACCTTTATGAAGTTGAAAAGGCTATGGGAAATCTGAAGCGAGAGAGAGCAGCAGGACCCGATTAATTGAAGGATGGTGGTCCAGTTGCGTTCTATGAAATTCTAATCTTCTGAATTCCTCATAATCGCTATCTTTCTCCTTCTAAATTTATATCACTGACTTATACTTCTCGAATCATATCTTCGCTCCCTAATCTTCTCCATTACTGCTAATACTTCTACTATCACTATCACTCTTGGATTTGAAGTGACAGTTGCGTCTGTGTGCTGATGTGGGATGTCGTTTGCTACCAGTTGGTTCACTAATCTACCGAAATGGTCTTAATTACAATAGTTCACAAGACATGAAAAGTCACCATGAAGGACCGATAGAAATGTAAAATTTTATTCAATGATGGTGGTGAAGGATTTTGATGGAAGTGAACTTCGACTCACCATTTACTTTACGGACCTAAAATCCAGATCGGCAGCTGCAATATTTAAACCTAAAGCACGAACTCCTTTAAAATGAAGCTTACACAGATGACCGATTTCTGCTTTGTCTCCGTTATGGGGATAAGTCCGAATGTGCACAATCTTCGGAATACTGCTGTTCGCCATTACTGTCTAGATCCGGAAAGCAAACGTCTGATCCTGATGCACTGCGTTTACGTCCATGCATGTAGACATATCTGATAATTTACCCAAGATCATTCTTATTACATATTAAGGGTATGTATACTGTACAAAGAATTAATGGGAGGATTCATATTACTATATGTACTTCATTCAGACATGTTTCAAAATTATCCAAACTGGTAAATAGTATGACAGCTTTATACAACTAAATATATGTTCTGTATCATGCACCACTACTATGGCATCACTTTCGCCACATGGTGGATGGAAATTATCTGATAGCCAGTCTGACCTAAAATCAAATTCGAAATTGTCTTGATTTAGCCCCTTCTCGTAAAGTGTATGAGTTGTCAGTGTGACGCACCAATCGTTTTATAGCAATTTGACCTTCAAGTGCTCAGCAACCTCCCTGAATGAACGATGCCACTGGCGCGTTGCTAGCAGCTTCGACATCGCACGCTTTGTCGGATGGACGTCGTTCGTAAATTAGCCAAAGCTTTAGCCTCTAACCAAGATAAAGTGAGGCGAAAAGCACAGAAGCAAGTAAAAATACTTCTTTCGAAGCACTCACCTAATGGAAAAGGTCTGACCCCTTTATATATAACTATTTTCTATAATGTCGGGTCGTATGACTTGGTATAATTAATGTGTCTAAACTTTGTGCTGACATTATAAATTTTTCTCACTGAAGTGGTAGTAAAAACTCAACAGCCTGTCACTGAGCCGCTTTTGTACCTAGGGTGTCGAGGTTCTCTTTTTTTGCTGGGCTTGGTCAAGGAACCAGTTGATACCTCTGTTGTGCAAACAAATTTTAGACTTCAAAAGTCACGTCGCGCAGTTGTTACAGTCTGTGCAAATATGGTGCCTAGCGGAGAATAACAGTATTTAAAAGTCTAGAACAGTTTTCGATGAGCTATTTAATAATTATTTGTAGAGGTGCTAATTAATAGTTAGACTATTTTGGCAGCTTATGTTAATCTTCCTGAATGTCCTTAATATACACTTCTCGTTTTATAGTAATCTCTAGGTTTTAGGGCTGTCAGCTTCAAGATATATATATATATATATATATATATATATATATATATATATATATAATCAGCTATTGGGGTTTACAGGCAGTAGACATAAGATGATGGAGTTAGAGTATGTCCGATCACAATAGTGCGATCGAATTGCAAACGTTAATCTATTAGAAATATAGTATGTTTGTAATTAACGTTAGGGAGGTCTGTAAAAGCTGCTTTAGTTTCCGGATCCACTCTGGTTATGGTCTGTGCAAAAACCACCACAATTTGGCGTTGAAATTGAGATCCTAGTGTTGTTATTTGCATTAATGTTCTTCGATTTCTCTCGCTGACCTATAGTGTGTCAGTATCTTTAAGTACGCATCCGCGTCACATCCTGCATAAGTTTCAGTTTAGTGGGCCACAGATACGTGATGAGCATAAAACTGGTAAATTAGTTTCAAGCTGTATACTGTGACTTGAAGTTGGAGCTTTTTTCATTTACCTAGAGATTTTGAAGCAGTAGCTTGCAATAGTACGTGTTTGGTGGACTTCATCAACACAGTCGTGTTCAAAAACGAAAAACCTATATAAGGCCATGTTTTTCCTACTTAAAGACAGTTTGTACACAACTGTATTCTTGAATTCTCCAACGTTCCGAAAGAACCTATCCAAATACTATTTTACTTCAATTACTCAGCAATTTCAATTCATCAAAAGATTTACGTAAGATTTATTTACTCTCACTGGACATGTTTCTCGGCCATAAAGTAAGACGGAGCGAACTGCTGCGCACTACACGTAACAATACTAATTTCATGATAATCTTTCCAAGATTTTGGTTATGATGAAACAGGTGTTCGGATTTCCGGAACTATCCTACCTGAAGCTATTGTTTATAGTTGTGTTCTCCAAGTATTAAGTACGTAAATTATTGCATTACAATAACTTTCCATCTCCAAGACTTCGTTTGATCCAAAAATCGTTGTCATATGTCTAACTATTCCACATATAATTATTTAACTTCTTCCATATTGCTCTGGTCTCAGATCACTGATGATTGGGTTATATGCACATTGACATTTTCCAGTGTGTATATTGGTTTTAAGTCATAATTCTGTGCAGTATCTAGATATTAACATATCGCATACTCTAATTTAGATGTTAAAATGGAGTCATAGAATAGATAGTTTAGGGAAGGAATATTTTTCCAAGATTTATTTTTCAGAACAAATTCAGTACAGTTACTTTTTCAAACATAAATACTTAATATTCCTTAAACATTGTCAGATCCTAAAATATTTACCTGATTGCTAAAATTATGTCACTAATTTCCGTTGCGACTCATTGTATGCTTTTAATTATTTCCATTCTAATTGTTATTTATTTTCTTGATTGTCAAACTAAAAATAAACTTAAATGTATTTCGGTCACATAAATATGCACCATTTGTTTACTAATTGTTATCTTTGAATAATAAATCTTTACAGATGACTGGAATTACAAACAGTTGTTAGGCATTTGCAAAGGTCTTCATTATAGTTTATGGATGCAGGACAAGTTGCTACTGAAGGTATTCATATTCGATTCATATATTTTACTTAAAGGAACAAACGGTAGTCCGTTTATGCAACATACTACCAAGTATTGGGGACAACACAGTTACACTGTATTATTCTTATGCCATGTTTGAAACATTGGCAAAAGAGTGGGATAACTTAGATTACTGGAGGACAGACAAGTTTATGCTCGTAAGTTGAAGAAAGTTTATTCACTGTTAGCTAGCTCGCACGGGAATTTTTTGCAAGAGGTCTTCAGTTTATTTCCTGTAAAAAACCTGAGATTTTACCTTCTTTCGTGGAGGCCATTTTCACCAAAATATTGAATAATGACAAAGACCATGCTGTCGGTCTAAAAATACACTTCTGTACTCTAATAGGTGAAGAACTTCAAAAAAAGGTACATACTTTTGCATCCTTAATTGTAGGTTAATGACAGAACATAAAAATGTCTTCTGTGCAGTTAATCTTCCAGTATCTCCTGGTTTTATTAGCTTCCTTACCGAAGTGAGATCATTTGTATACTGTATTATTATTTAGGCACAACATGTATGCCCACAGTGTTCTATCTTTGATTACTGCAATAACAAAGCTTATTCAAAGGCGCCCGAAAGTATGCTCAGTTCCGTAATTTATATGTATAATTTTAATTTAGTTTTACTTAGATGGTATTATGAAATGTCTTGAGGATATTTTAGGCAAACAGTGCTCCTACAAAAATGCTCTAAAACGAGTCAACACAAAGTAATTTCACAGCCTGATTCTTTATTGGTCCTCAGTTTAAAAAGAACTCTTGCAAATCGAGAAGCTGCATTGAAGGTGTCAGATGAACAGGTTTTAACGCCATGCACACGATCGTTACCTGAGGTAAAAGGATGCTCTATATGTTTAACCCTTATAGACGACAAATATCATATCCAGTCGTGAGAACGTAAATGGAGAAAGCGGTTTATCAGAACCTAAGGTGAGTGTTCGTTATGATTTTGGTTTACTTCAGATCCGAAAGAAAAAAACTTCAAAGGTTTTGACGAAGAAAAAAAAGGTTACAGAAAAACATCTACATACCGATACCCCTAAAGTAAATTATTATTTGCTGTCTAACTACTTTTAGCCTGTAAATATAGAAGAGTCTAGCAAGGAAGTTGATATTTTTATGGAAGAGTCACATCCAAAAAGAATGAAGTTTGATTTATCCACGGAAGTAATGTTTCTACGTAATTGCATCTAATTGTAGTCTGTTGATAAATCCACAACAGCTCCATGCGTAGTTCCTGATTCTCCGTGCCTTTTTTCTATATGCGATGATGAGTCCAAACCAAACGTAGATCATTTTGTATCCCCTAGTGTTTCTATAAGTGGCGATCCTGCGTCTGAAGAAAAGCGTACTCCAAATACTCCACTTTCTTCCGAAAGACGTGTGTCTTTTGGGAAGGTGTTTCGTAAGAGTAGGTTTAACGCCGTTCCTGATCCTGTAAATATTAGAATTTAACTCAGCTCGTTGTATTTCCCTCACCCCACCGGTTAGTGTTATCCCAGCTAAGGGGATTTTAAGAAGTAACAGTAAGTAGTGTGCTTTTCTGATTTTTTCTACAGAATCCACCGCTGATGAAGCAAAAGTTAACGTTTCATTCTAATTTCATCTGTAATTTTGTACATACAAATGGGATAAATACAGTGTTTATGTTCTCTAGCCAAACTGCTTCTCCCATCTTAAAATTTGTATTTATTTTTCGTTCTGCTCAACTTATTTCTTTCTCTCGAGAATCTCATCTTATTATGATGGTGATATTTATTTTGTAACCGCTTTGTACCAATATTTGTGTTCAAAAGATAACGTTAGATAATGTAGGCGAATTTCTAAGTATGGTCAGTATGTTTTTCTGTTTATTAGAAATCATTATTTTGCGTAAAGTAGTATAACAATTCGACTGGGTTTACCGTTGTCTCCAACGTATTGCCATGTTTAGTCCCGCCCTCCTATATAAGCATCTTCGTAGTGTTGTTCGCATATGGGCTATGTTGTTGTAATTAGCTGGGAAAATATAGCGAACGGGTTACTGATACTGCGAATCCTTATAGACTCAAGTATCTGCGAGATGTGCTGTGTGTGCCTTACTGCTGCTTACATAATAATGGAAATAAGTTGGGAGAGTGCTAGTAAACGGGGCATCATTTCATGACACTGAGTGGTTATGTTAGTGAGTGGAGACATTCTTGGTATCAGCACAAGCAGTAGTTGGTGTTCGATGAAGGCGCGAGACGATTTTCTTGGCGTATATACATCTATTCTTAATGGATGTAATTTTTTAAATCTATACACTCATCTTTATAAAACAGCATTCTCCTGTGTCTACATGTTGATCGTGACTGCCGCCCACTAGTGATATTTTATTCTTATAAAAGGAAATGAATGTACCCTTTGAACGGACGCCTATAACCGTCATCTATAAATCTATTAATATGGTGTCACATTCCGTCCGTCTTGGCAGAACGTGCTATTTTCTTTTTGGAAGAATGCTGAACTTATCCGACGTTTAAGTATGCTCGAACATGAAGCTGTTGCACTTGCCGGTACCAAAAATAAATATGCACGCACATCGTATCCGATCAGAATGGTTGGTTAAGAGTCAGAGGAAGAAGAAAATACCACTGAGGGTTAGATTAGTGGGACGAGCGATACCTCAGACGATGAGTTTATGCTGTATATCAATACCCTAGTTAGATGCATATATAGGCAATTGAAATAAGACGCTTTAGAACAAATCTTCAACGATTCAGTCGTTGCTTCACGCTCATGAAAAAAGACCAGTCTCTCCCAGCCAATGGAATTAGAAAGAGTCATTGGTTCATCAAATAGATTTTATGCACCGTAGACTGTATATACCAAAAATGTTAACATGACACAGAAAAATGTTTTTATGCTGCAGCTATAAAAGTGAGGATATACAACTTATGTTCTGACAAATCACAAAATATGATCACATAGTGAAGATATTGAATTTTATATTCTTCAGCAATCAAGATTCAAAAACAAATCCACGACAAGTGAGATCTCGTTTCGCTTCACTAACCAGCTTCATAAGCTCTGTGGTTGCCTCTGGACAATCATTGAAATTGTATGTACGATAGAGTATAATCAACACAGAAACCGTCCCGAAAATGAATAATAAGTGAAAAGGTAGCCAGTTGAGGATTATGTTACCACAATGAGACTGTACAGTGATTATTCCCATCAACTTAGATATCCATATTGCGGAAATCAAAGATAAGACTAGAAGCCATTCGACAATTTTCTTCATAGTGAACTTACACAATGAATTTAACCCTTCCGTCACAACAGGAACGAGTTTTCTTCACTTGACGAGAAGGGGCAACCACTAGTACCTGGAAGACAAGAGGAATAATGAGTTGTTTTTATTGAAACACCTTTTTTATAAGTCACTGGTCTAGCAATTGCAAGGCGACAGCGTTACAAACATCGCTTTCCCAAAAATCCCAGCTGGTCTTGATGTCTGTAACCAAAGCAACCTGGAAACGAACATAAGGCGGATTTCGGCAAAGTGAACAACCAGTAACTTGATGTAATTCGAATACAATAGTAAGAGTCTAAGACACCGATAGTTGAGAACCAAGAAGCGGTTCAGTAAGAATAAGAGACGGTTGATGGGAGAGTCCTGCATAACTTTGAATCTGTGCAGAGAAGCAGGGTAGTTTTTTGGTGTTGATCACTATTTTACTCAATTGAAGCAACTGAAATATCAAATTGTTAAGCTAAACCTAAAAGTATTAGAGGCAGTAACGGTATTAGTAAAGATTAGGCACTTAAATATAAGCTAGGGGAGGTAAATCTGTGAATTTAAAACCTTAAGGAAGCTAGGGTCATTGGATCTATGCTTTGTCAGTCCTTAACTATTGGTTACGACAACCAAGTCGTTTCTATCAACCTACCCATCCAAAGTGCGAGCCCCATTATTTTTTTATTTAAATGGCGTCATGTTTACTCCTAATATCCTTTATTCGATTGTGCTTAATTGAGCCTGAATGCGGCGTAATCGTCATCACCGAATTCTTTGGTGACTCGGCGACGTCATAAGTCACATATTATTGACACAACTTGTTGAGTAATTAATCATATCGTAAGGGTATTTTTGTTTAGTATTCTGTTACATGTCCGTAATTAAGTTATTCAGATTTTCATGTTGAGGACAGAAGGCCTACAATTTGTTAGTCCTTTCTGAGTAAACTTCCAAGTGTCTCGTCTTTTCTTGAACTGGTCAACACAAGGTACAGACGTCTTTGTGTTGATGACTTGGTGTGGAAACCCATACTCCACAAGTATTTTGTTCGCCTTCCGCTTTTGAACTCGCCTGTTATATCCTCTAAGTTGTCTTGATCTGGGAAGAAGAAAAGTGGAGGGGATATCGGGTCCGAAATCATTTCTTAGTACTGCATACATCAAAACCATATCACTGCTTGATCTACGGTAGAACAGAATGAAAAAGTCAAGTTCTTTAAGCCATTGTGTATCTGATAGACTTCAGAATTTTGGTGTTGCTCAGGCAGCTGATTTTCCCACTTTTTTCAAGATATCCGAGCCACCTTTGAAACAAGAGTTTGCAGCCTGAGCGTAGTTTTGAAGTTTGGATCACACTAAGGTTGTGTAAACGGTTGTGAACATACTGGCATCCAACTTAGTAACTATGTCTCAAAGCACATAGGGTTCTGAACCCTTTAGCTGTAACTGCACGGTAGCGAGACGTGGTCTTTGGATTGTGGCCTACTGTTCCCCCAAGATCACTGTGAGACCAAACTACGGGCATCGATGCAAATTCTTAAGTGTAGGAACAATAGGTGAAGTAAAATCGCCGCTTGGGAGAAATGCAGCTGGGTACCCGGACCGTGGCTGTTACCTTGACGTGGTGGTCGGGTTTGCCTATCGCGATGAGCCAACCGAGCTATATTGGCTGGAACATATGGTACTGAAGGTTCTACCACACCAGGCAGGTCGATTAGAGAACGATGAAACCAAAAACAATTACTCAAGTAAACCAATATATCGTATGGCCAACATTTAATTTAATTATTGGAATCAATCAATCGTTGAGGTGGTTAGGACATGTGTCACGTATGCTCAGCCACCGACTGCCTCGGTGAACTGCTCTGTGATATAGTAGTAGTTTAGAAGAAACTTAGGGGCGACCAAACCAAAGCATGGCGCAAATCCATGAAGTCACTGACAGTGGACTGAGTCATGTTGGTAGATGTAGGCTACCTGGTCGGGGTCCGCGAGGCTAAATTCACCGATGGTCAGAGACCTTGAACGACATGGCTTACAATCGTTTGCGATGGCGCAGGTGCATCCATTATTTGTGTTCTCTCAAATTCTAATCTTCAGAAGTCATCATCCTGTCTTCCTATTTCTAAAGTTGCCTCACTGAACTATACTTGAATAATTTCTTGGAACCCTAATCCTCTATATTACCGCTAATTCTTCTACTGTCTCCACCGCTATGGGATTTGAACTGTCAGTTGCGTCTCCGTTCTAATGCGGTATGGTAACCTGAACTGATGTACCTATGTACGAAATTCTACGTTGTGACTGACTGAAGTTAGGCAAGAAATTAGATAATTATCAAATACATTGAAGTTAGTTCAGGGTAGCTTCTTACTGATTAACAGTCAGGGTTAAGGATATTGATGATGAAATATTAAACTCATGAATACCAGCTTCTCTGTAATACAGGGACTCCCAAGTGTCGCGTTTATTCCATTACCTGGGAGCTCGGCTTATCTTCCGTTGCCATAAGCAAGTTTGTTTTACATGAAAATACTTGCATAAAACCATGTTCTGTGCTTAAAAAAGTTATTTGTTTCCACGAGGGTCACTGATTTCTCTTGATAGTATTTTAACTATGACAGGTGAGGTTGATCGGTCTTTATTTAGGTGGAAAGTTCGATTGTTTTAAAAATTGGAGTGGCATCAGCCGTAATATCTAAATGTCGTGGTCGGTGGTGTTGTGCAAGTTATTCTAAGATTGCTGGTGTAGTTCACTAGGTTTTGTTGATTTCTGCCTAAAGCGCTTAGGGTTTTAGGTACGTACTATTCAAAGTCCACAACAAGTGGCCAATTTGGTACTTTTGTATATAGACCTAATCTTCTGTCTAACGGAGGTTCTTGAGCAGGACTTTCCAACATTAGTAGTTCTTTTTTCGAGATTTAAAATTTTGTTGCAGTTCGCTGTGCTTGTTTATTTAGTAATGGATACTCAAATACATAAACTGAAAGATGTATTTTACTATCTAAAAACAAAGGCCAAGTGCATAGATTCGTTTTAGTCATCATGCTACCCTCCAACTTTAGAGAAATCCTGGATGGTTTTGAGTAAAACCCCCTAAGGCGGGGGGAGTTTCGGGGTGTTGGGTTACATTTTCTCAGAGTTTGCCATTGAAGCAGCTGCTCTGGCTTACAGTACGGATACATCTAGGTCGCTGTTCTTCATATGGAATTCATGGAACTTTCGTAATCTATGTAATGAGATATTTAGATATCCTAAATACTCAATTTACTGACGAATTTTGGAGGAAAGATGTTAAACATGTCGAGGTAAACAGTATAAAACCAGTAGGATATTCA